CCACCCAAGGGGGAGGACGGCTGGTTTCATGGGCTGAAGACACACACACAATTTTAAGAAAGAAGGGAGACTTGACACCGAAAGTATCCGTTGCCACTCAGTGTCCTCCATGGGGGCACCCAAGCCTTCGTCAGTGGCTTTAGGATGGCCCTTTGGGTCTTGCTTCCTGAGCGTTTGGGGCAGTGGGAAGCATCTGAACTTTGGGGTGTGAGATCCCAGTGTGAGATCTTCATCACCACGTGGCCCTGGAGTGAGTTACTTGAAGCTGCGGAGCGCATCGGCCTCGGGGACTCTGTGGGGAGCTGGAGCGGCCAGTGCAGCGCCACCGCCTGCGCACAGAGCTTAGTCCAAATGTCCTCTGGGGCCCCGCTTTCTATGAGCTCATTTGTTCTTTTAGCCATGGTCAGTCTATTGTGCTCCCCACTCCCCCTTCTGGAGGCGAATTTCGGTAAACCTGCCCTTTTCTGGCATGCACCATGTGGTGCACGTGATGTGCATCGCCTCATCCACACCTGGGCCGGCCTCCTGGAGGTGCTTGGAGTCCATTATGTGAGGTGAAATTGGAGCACGGCCAGCGAACGTCATCTGCCGCCAGAGCTCAGGCGCCCCGCCCCGTGCCAGTACGTTTCACGCTCAGGGTCCTCAGAGGGACTGGTTTCAAGTGAAGGCCACACAGACCCTGGGAACCCCAGTGGGCGCTGGTGCAGCCGTTTCGTGGGCGGGGAGGAAGGAAGGAGAGCCGAGGTTCCTACGCCCCTCCTTTACTGGGTACGTTCTGTACTGCTCGTAGTTTTTAAGAGGGTCTGAAGAATGTGTTCAGTGCATAATATTGAGGCGATTCAGATGCTGATTCAGAGACTCGTTTTTAAGGAGCAACCCGGGATTCTGTTGCAGAGTCCAGACAGGACAGCAAGCGCTGAGCCCCCAACGTGTAGACTCGCCCTTGGATCAGTGATGCTGACGGGAAACCGGCAGGGAAAACCCCCAGCCCTCCTCCTCCTCCTCTTCACGTCCTTGTGTGAGAGGGTCGCTAGCCTTGTTATGAAGGACACCTGGGCTGCGCGTTCCCGTCTGACCTTTCAGTTCGCAGGTGCTAATCATGTCACTGGCGATGGCGTCCAGTTCTGCGAGGCGTGGCCGGAGTTGGCGTTGACTGGTGTTGGAATAAGAGTGTTTACACAACTGTGTTTTAGTTATTTTCTAGTGGACCCTGCCGGCAAGGTGGTGACAAACCAGGAAGGTGTGTTCCGCAGCAACTGCATGGACTGCCTAGATAGGACCAATGTGATCCAGAGCCTGTTAGCTCGCCGCGCGCTGCAGGCCCAGCTTCAGGTGCAAACTGTTCTTCTTCTAGGGAAGACCTGGGGCGCAGCATGAAAGCAAGGTCGTCGTCCTCCATCCAGTTAGAGAGCGTGCCTGCTGCTCTGTGGGCTGCCCTCGGCCATGCTCGGGGTGCAGACGCAGTTTTGGTCCCCCGCTTCCCCTCATGGAATACTGTAACCAGTGGTTCTCAGCCTGCCTCATGCTGCGACCCTTCCACACAGTTCCTCATGTGGTGATCCCCAACCATAACATTATTTTCGTTGCTACTTCATAATGTAATTTTGCTACTGTTATGAATTGGGTGACCCCTGTGAAAGGATCATTCGACCCCCAAAGGGGTCAATGAACCCCAGGTTGAGAACCACTGCTGTAGAGAGTGTGTCAGTGTGTGATGTTGTTGAGGTGAATAGTTTCCCTTGGGCTGCTCCCAGAAGTGGAAGTACATGCTCTGGGAAGGAGACCCATCACTCTCCACTAGGCTAATACTAATCACATCAACACGACCAGTGGATAAGTGAGTTCTTGCCTGGCTGACTCTTGCCAGCATGGCCTGCTTCTGTCTTGGGTCAGGGCCCTTTCCCAGGGGGTCTGCGTCTTTTAGGACCTCGCCAAGGATGTCCCTTCCCGGTCCCAGCTGTGACGTAGCTGGGCTTCCCAGGCACACGGTGCTGTGGAGAAACATGGGCATGGAGGTGGTTGGGTTTTTATTGGAGTGGAAAATGGGAGCCCGTTTCCGGACCACACTGCCAACTTGTGCGTCCCAAATGGCTTCCTGCCACGGGCTTGGTGAGCTTCCGCTTTGCCTGTGGCGTCTTGACCCCTGGGAGGCGGAGGTGAAGTGCTCCTTGAGAACGCACCGCTCTGACACCACGGGAGGGGCGTCATGTGTGCCTGGGCTCCAGGTGGGGTGTTTTACTAATTAGGCCCCTCATAATCCGTCTGGCATACTTCACGTGCTTCAGTAGAAAAAGTGTTGGCAGTGGTTTGATTCTAAGGCCAATTCATGGGAAATGACGTAGGTGGGTTTTAGGATCTGTGTTTAATTGCTCTGCACGTTAGAGGCAGTGTTGTAAAAGCTAACCAGCCTCCCTTCAGAGCGTGTGTGGGCAGGCACCTCCTGGTGGCAGTGTGCCCGATGCCAGCCAGGGTGAAGACCCCATAATTGTCCTCTCTCCATCGAGGGCAGGCTAGAGGCAGCCCCTGTGCTCTGTTGGAGATTGAGGGGTGGGGTGGGGAGTCGAGGAGCCATTCTGAGAGAGAAACTGAGGTGGTGTCTCTCCTGAACAGTGAAGATGTGGTTCTGAGGGTCTGAGACAAAGGACCAGGTGGGGGCTCCTGATCTGGGCTTGGTGACCCTTTAGAGGTGTCCTTAGAAGAGCCTCAGGGGTCCCCCCCCCCCACTCCCCTGGGAACAGAGGCAAGGGCTGTGTGTCCATGCCTCCATGGGGAGGGAGGTGCACAGCACCCAGGGCCCTGCTCAGGGCTCGGATGAGCTGACCCAGTGGGAGGAAACCGGGCTGGTGAGTGTGGAGACAGCTGGGGCAAGGCAGTGGCAAGAGGAGGGCAGGAGGTAGTAGGGTCAGGTCCTGCATATGGTCCTGTGGGGGCTGCAGGCCAGGACTCCCCACCCCTGAGGGGCTTGGTGCTGCCCTGGGCAGGAGAGGGTGCTCTGAGCAAGGAGCACATCTCAAGCTTGTAAGCAGGCCCAGGTGCCTGTGCTTTGTGGGTGCTGCAGAAATCCCTTACACAGAATGAGGGTGTGCTTCCTCTTCCAGAGACTAGGAGTTTTGCATGTGGGACAGAAGATTGAAGAACAAGATGAGTTTGAGAAGATTTACAAAAATGGTAGGTAATTTATTTAGAGCTAACGGTACTTAAGTTTGGAAACATTTTGAATGTAAGACTCTGATTGTTCCTTTAGTCATTGTTGGCCCTTTTTCCTCCAGCCTGGGCTGACAATGCAAATGCCTGTGCCAAGCAGTACGCGGGGACAGGTGCCTTGAAGACGGACTTTACCAGGCAAGCCCGCTTCCAGAGTCTCGTCCCGCACTGCGCTCCCCAGCCTGGTGCACCTTAGACTCCCTGTCAGGGTGCTGCAGAGCACCGGGCCCAGGTGGCAGCAGTTCTGGTGCACAGTGAGGGTTGAGAACTGGCCTCGTCGCCGGGGCTCTTGTGGAAAAGAGGATTCTGACCAGCAGGCCTGGGGCGGTGATGGGGATGCTGCTCTCAGGACCACACTAGCGGGTGGGGGCAAGGAGCAAAGCATTCGGAGCTGGTTGTCAAAGCAGATGGGCTTTATCTGTTCGTGGCTTTCTTGGGAGCACAATAAGCTGTCTCGAGGGAGGAGTTGTTGGGGGGTGGGGCGGGGATGCTTTTAAAAATCTTTGTACCTCATTTATCCCCACACCACATGTGCTTGGCTGTAAACCTGTGTAAGGATCTCCCACGTCAGCCGTAGCTTAGCCCGTGACCTCTCTTATCTAGAACGGGGAAGAGGACCCAGCTGGGCCTCGTCATGGATGGCTGGAACTCGCTCGTACGGTATTACAAGAACAACTTCTCAGACGGCTTTAGACAGGTGCGTCTCCGCCGCCCGCTGTGCAGACCGGGCTGGCAGTGCTGCGGCATTGCCCATCGGATGCTCTTGAGTGACCCGCTTCCTTCTTTCTGCCCCAGGACTCCATAGACTTATTTCTCGGCAACTACTCTGTGGACGAACTGGAGTCTCACAGCCCGCTGAGTGTTCCAAAGGACTGGAAATTCTTGGCTGTAAGAAACCTTCGTGTTCCCCAGGTGTTAGACTCCGAGTCTGAGGACAGGGCCACAGCTGGTGTGGTGCGCGCCCCAGTGAGGTCCACAGTAGGTGCTGTTCCAGTGCAGCGCCAGGCTCGGGCGGCAGTATCACCTGGGCCCTGGAACCCCGTCCTCACTGAGAAGCAGAGGGATGGGAAGATGGCTCACTTCAGGAAGGCCCCTGTAAGTCCAGGATTTCCGGGCACACTTGTCACATGTAAGAGGTCGTGCACCTTTGACCGGCTGTCCTTACTGATGCTGCTTGACTTGGCGAGGCACAGCGCCTGCACTGGAAGGGAGGAGAGGCCCCGGCCTCGGGCTGGCTTCTCGTCTGGACCCCCTTCTCCCAGGGATCCGGCGGAGCTAAGGCATGCTGCCTCCGAGCTTGTAATGTGACGAGTGAGCCCCAAGAGATGGGGTTTTGTAGGGGAATTTGGCTCTTGGTGCCATAGGACAAACGCTGGCCAGTCCTGCAGCGTCCCCGGTTCCTGCTGGCTGCCCGCTGCTGCAGCCAGGACGTTGTTTGTCCTGGACTGTAGAGCGTTTTTCTCCCTCAAGCAGAGCACATACGGCTGATGTTTCCCCATGGATTAGTATTCTTTACAAAGTGGTTTCTCTTTTTCTTGTTCTTCTTTCCAGTTGCCGATCATCATGGTCGTCGCCTTTTCAATGTGCATCATCTGCTTGCTCATGGCCGGTAAGCCTGCTCGTGTGTCTGTGCAACAGATTGCTGGGCTTCTTGTGTAGCACCTTGAGTTCACTTGCCACTGACGTTTCCCTGTGAAAGTCACTTAAGTTAGTGAGCAGAAGATTTTGGACCTCAGCAGTAAAAGGAGGGAAAATATGTCCATGGTAGTTTGATAGGTGGTATTACTTTTAAGGTTTTTAAAGCCTTTTTATCTTCTTTTTCCAATTACCAAGATAACATAATGATGATAGAAAATACAGTTAGGCAAAGAAGGAGAAACTATTATTCATTCACCATCTTGATGCCTTCCAGAGATAGACTAACCCTGATGAACAGTTTGGTGTTGAGTTTTTCTAAGTTTGTGTCTGGTGGTGTAGTGGTTACACATGGGGCTGTTAACTGCAAGGTCAGCAGTTTGGAACCACCATCTGCTCCTTGGGACTTTTTACTCCTCTAAAAAATGACAGTCTCAAGCTCACAGGAGCTGCCCTGCCCTGTCTTACAGGGCCGCTGTGAGTCGGCATCAGCTGGCAGTGAGTGTGGGGTTTTTTTTTGTTTTTTATTTTGCCTTTTCACAAATGGGATGGTATTCAGGGTTTCTGTAATCTTCTTTTCATTGAGCAGTATAAGCATACCCAACACCTTCTTCTACATTTGTAAGGCCTGCGTGGGCCCCATTTATGACTTACTTTAACCAGTCACCTATTGCCGGACAAAGAGTTGTTGTGAATAGGTTAAAATACTACCATTTACTGTCATTAAGAGCCTATGGGTTCAGTGATGGGCTCTCAACTGCAAGGTCAGCAGTCCTGCCTCTCCACGGAGAAAAGGCTGGCCGTTCCTGTAAGGTCTGCAGTCCCAGAAGCCCGTGCAGGGTCGCTGTGAGGGGGACTCGGTCATCCACTGAGGAGAAAACTGACGAAGAACACAGCTGACAGGAGGAACCCACTGGGGAGAGAGCTTTCTTTCCTTCGTAGCATAGGGAGCCTAGGGCCACGTGTCCCGGTGTGTCGGTTAGTTCATCATCCGTGGTAAGTGCTGAGGCCACAGGATACATCGTGGAACTTGCTCTCAGGGACCGTCAAGTTGAGAGGGGTGACCTGGGGACAAAAGGCCATTGGCTGGTTAGCAGGGTGGCTGACCTTGCCCAGCAGAGTGAGTGGGCAGGGGCTACCCAGCGAGAAGGCTCAGCTAGTCAGACTTGGCAGGGAGTGGAGAAGAGGCGCAGTGGTGGGAGCCTGGCTCAAAACGGGGTGACGAGAAGGGTTGGATATGACCCCTGCAGATGAGGAGCTGTCTGCCTCCTTTGCTCAAGAAGTTTTAACCTTAGCGCTGTGAAAATGGCTATTGGGCCGATGCTCCGCCGGAAAAGGAGCGTGGATGCTGAATTGAGTTAATCGGTGGATGGTAGCATCTCTTACCAGTTAGTGGACTGCCGTGAGGTACTGACCCTTGGTGGTGGGGCTTGATCCTCCTGATTTCTAGCCCTGACTGTGGTTTATAGGAGCCCGGGTAGTGGCTTAGGTTGTGTGTTGGACTGCTAGCCACAGAATCCGCGGTTCAAAGCCCCATATAGAGTTACAATCTGGGCAGTTTGACTGCCCTGCGGGGCGGCTGTGAGTCCAGATTGACTCGGTGGCAGGGAGAGTTTGGCGTTTTGGTGCTGTGGTTTGTGAGGGTGCCCTGGTAGCGCAGTGCCTAAGTGATCAACTCGGAACCAGATGTTGGTAGCTCTGGTCGTTCCTCCCAGTTCCTCCTCGGGAGAAGGTGTGGCAGGCTATTTCTCGAAAGATCCCTCAGCTGCCCAGAGGTAACCGCGCACACTCCTCTGGTGACGCTCTTACTCACTAGCTCTTTCTAACTCTCAACAGGTGACACGTGGACCGAAACGCTGGCCTATGTGCTCTTCTGGGCAGTGGCAAGCATGGGGACATTTTTTATCATCCTGTACAATGGCAAAGATTTTGTTGATGCGCCCAGATTGGTCCAGAAAGAAAAGATAGACTGAATTTGTAGCTGTGGAAAGCGGCTTGGCCTGGAAGATTCCATCATGCAGCACTGGAGTCTTTACTGACCTGCTTTCCACGTCAGCCTGTCTCTGAAAGCGCAGCCCGGCTGCCTGCTCTGGGCGAGAGAGGGCCAGCTCTCGTGCTCCTGCCTTGACATGCTCCCCCCGGCCCCCGCCCCCAGTGGGTCCGTTAGATTTTTTCATTCGGAGCAACTCTAGAATTAAACTGTAACTAGAATTCAGCTCCCCAGAATGGAAGGAATTCATTGTCAATCTAATCAACTGTTGCAGAAGTAAGTAATATACACACACAAATCTAGCTTCTTTCATTATTTAAAACAGTAAGATTATTTTTCTAGCTCAGTTTCATGATTGTCATTGTAGAAGCATTTATTAGCAAGCACACATCTCTGGACTTTTTTTCTTAAAAGTCTAACAATAAGCTAATCGTCCCTCATTGATGAAGCATGAGCCTCCTCCTGTGTCACGCAGCAACGCGCTGAGGTGGCCTGGGACTCCCTGGGGAGAGCAGTTGGGGGCCGGGGCTCTCCTGTGCTGTTGGCAGTTGGACCAGCAGATTTAGGTATGATGAAAGGTTCCGATAAGCTTCATCTGTTTTGTTTTTTAGAAGGTAAATGCAATCAAAGAATGTAAAACCTGTCTTATGCTAATGGTCCAAAGCCTCCTATACTGTAAGACCGCCCCAGTGTGAAAATACCCCTGCCAGTCAGCTACTTCCCTCTGTACCACCTGCTTTTGTTTTTTCCTGGTGGTGGTGGTGGTGGTGGTGGTAGTGGTGGTGGGGTTCTCCGTGAGACCTGAAAGCCTCCCCTAGAGGGTCTCAGGCTGGGGTTGGTGCTGCACTGAGGGCAGCAGCTTCTTCCCCACCCTGGTGCCCACTGACGGTTGGCTGTCAGTAAGTGCATTGCCCGGGGAGTGCTTCCAGGCAGCCGTAGTTCTCCCAGTCAGGGACCAGCTTACTGTCAGTTTCCTGCACGCACGCTGCAGGAGCCATGCCTAGTCTCATTGTAAGTCAGATTGTCCATTCAAATCGTAGCTACGAGGTTCAAATGCTAGTGTCCTTGCCATTCATTAAACCACTGCCCCATACCTCCAGGGTGGCACTGGGCGGGATGTGCCGTGTGTTCCAGTGGGAATACCTTATATTATCCTAAAAGATTCCCAAAAGCACCTTTCCGTCAGCATTGCCTTTTTTTTCAAACATTAACTTTTGTAAGCGTTACCGAGTTGTCGCTTGTAGAAACTCTGCAGGAAATACTAGCTGGGACATCCTCCGCAGCTTAGCATCCGTCATTAAAACTTGCAATAGGTGGGGAAGTAGAGCTGCCTGCTCTTAAAATGTAAATAAGTGTCACCTGCTCCCAAGATACCTGGGGTATTGAAACCGAGTTCCCACAGCTGTCTGCTGTAGTCAGTTGCCCAGAGGCCCCAGGGCATCTCACACTCAGATGACACAGCGACGACAAAGGCCAAGTGCGAACTGCTGACAGGCCGCCCTGCGTGAAGGGACCGCATATTGGTGCGTTAGCGCGTAGGGCGTCCGAATCTCAGAACCCCGCAGTGATTTTGTCTCTGAATTCACGTACTGTACCCCCTAAGTGAAAATAAAACGGCCTATTCTTTCTAACTATGCTGGTATCTTTCCTGCACTCTTTTTTTTTAATCATTTTATTGGGGGCTCATACAACTCTTATCACCATCCATCCATCCATCCATCCATCCATCCATTGTGTCCAGCACATTTGTACATTCGTAACCCTCATTATTCTCAAAACATTTGCTCTCCACCTAAGCCCTTGGCATCAGCTCCTCATTTTTCCCCCGTTCCCCGCTCCCCCTCCCTCATGAACCCTTGATAATTTACAAATTATTATTTTCTGGTATCTTGCACTGCCCGGCGTCTCCCTTCACCCACTTTTCTGTTGTCTGTCCCCCAGGGAGGAGGCTATATGTAGATCCTTGTTATCATTTCCCCTTTCCACCCCACCTGTCCTCCACTCATTTTATCTTGGAAGTTTCCATCTTAGACTTGAAACAAGTAGCAGAGAACTGCATGATGGTTACTGAACAATTAAGCATCGAAAGCAAATAAGAAAATAGTCTCTGGAAGCCTTCTGGATAATTATAATCACTTAATTATTTGAAGCCTTATAGTTTCCCTCTGTTTTCACATCGAAATTTCCTATTGTGAATGAGGTGAAGGTTTTACAGAGCAGACCATCCGCTGTACATTCAACCACGCACACACCTGGTGATTCAGCTCCTCCGTCGCAAGCGCCATGCACCCAGGTCTCCCGCCCTCCCAGTGTTTCCCTTCCCCACGCCTCATTTCCATCCCCGGAACTCTGTCCCTGGGGGGGATGCTGCCCCTGGGATCTCAAGTGGTTGGTTGTGGGAAACAGAAGGATTTCACCCAAGTTGTCTCCCCCAAATATATGCCAAACTTAACTGCTTGCGAATGACTGTACACTTGGAGGTCATCAGAAGTAGATCAGGGGTCATCTAGAGCAAGCAGTCACCACTGTGTATCCCACAACAAGTAGGACCCACTCCCTTCTGATAAGGATAGTAGTTGACTGTTTCCTTATAGGGGACCCCAGAGAGGTCGAGCCCACCCAAGGGTGACCAAGGTTAGGTCGCCATCATGAATCTAGGGTCCACCCATCTTGTCACAGGTAAACCTCTAGTCCCTCCCATTCCTACGGGCACACCCCTAGCTCATCCATCCCCTTCCTGTCACCCTCATGCCTATCGTACAGCCCCTTCCTATGATGTGAATGCCTATTGCACTGCCCCTTCCTGTGACGTGTGGTTACCTGTAATCATGCCCCCCTAAGTAGATGTAGCCCTTCGTTAGCAATAAACAGGGTCCTCAAGCATCCTGCCAGGTCCCTGCCCCACCTCGCCTCGGCCCACGCTGTGCACGGACCTGACTGGTAAGATCATGGCCATCCAGGAGGTGAGCATGCTACCGTGAAATGTGTCTGACTCCATAATTTCAATCTCTCTTCTAGCTCTCATGCTCTCTGACTTTAATGTAATCTTTATATGTCTCAACTGTACAATTGCGCCTACCGAACCAGTGATTGGGGGCGGGGTGGGGTGGGGTGGGGCTGGCACCCCTTCCAACCACAGTTGGTTATTTTTATTTTGTCATTTAACAGTTTTGTCAGCAGACCGTTTTATTGGCACACCCTACAATTCAGTGAGTCCCATCAAGAAGTTGTCCCGTCTCCGGTGGTGCTGATTTGCCACCCACCTGAGTTCCGTCCAGACCTGAAGGGTGACCAAGGGTTGTAGCCTTGGAAGCCCCCTGTCTATTGGACACGTAAATCTAGTTTCTCATATGATTTTGTTTGAGTTCTGAGCAATTTTCTTTTGGTTACAGTTAGAACTGGATAAGTATCTAGTTACAGTGTAACATCTAAAGAAAGGTAGCCCCCTGCCCCACCCCCTCCACCACCACCCCTCCCCGGGCATTATACTTTGTTTTTCAAGTGACATAGGTCCTAAGTGGTGTGGGAGAAATGCTGCTTCACTCCAGAACCCTCTCCAGCCTGCTGGGAGGTGCTGCTGAACACGTGGGAAAAGGGGGAAGAATCCCAGGGTGGTGGTGATAGGGATGGTGGTAGGTGGGGGAATGACGGGTGGGGGTGGGGTGGGTGGTAGTGGAAGTGGTGGGTGGGGGTGGGGTGGCAGGGATGGTGTGGGTCGTGCTGGGGGCTGCGATGAACTGCCTGAGACTGTATTCCGCCCGGCTCTGCAGTGGTCTCTCACAGCAAAAGCACGATGGTCCCTTCCTTTACGTCTATGGTCCTCATCCTGAGACCCAGGAGCACCCCTGCTGAGCGGCCCAGCCCAGCCAGGTACACAGGTGGAGAACAAGCCCGCCCTAGCCTCCAACCTCATTCCTCTGTGCTGGGCGCCCGCACAGAGAGGCCCGTGACTGCCACCCTGCCGGCCATGTGGACGCTGGCCCTGGTGAATGGGTTATGGGGGCCTGCCTGTTCCTCTTACAGATGACCTTGAACGTGCACCTGTGGGGTTTGGGCACAAGCCTGGGCACTCGTCTTCCGATGTGTACCGCTTTCAGTGCTGCCCGCCGCCCACCCAGCATTACTCTGGCTGTATAGGCTCCAGTCTCAGGCATCCAGGCCTTGGGCTTCAGCGAGGCTCCCGGGAGCATTGGGTTCAAACATGGTCTCTGGCATGAACTTAGAAAGTAGGCTGTGGGCCACATTCAGGATCATTGTACCACGCTCAGTGCTCTGAGCCGCTGGGACCACACATCCACCTGGCTTTTGCTCAGCGTAATCCACGCTCCATCCCCCAAGGGCTGCTAGTCCCAGTTCTGCCTCCTGCCAGTTCTTGCTGGAAGGTCACATCTCACCGCGTACCTGACCGTTCATTCCACGTGCTCCACAGACATCGCCAGCCTAGCAAGGTCCGAGTCCTTGATTGGGGCCTTCCGGGATGTTCCATCCCCTGCCTTCCCCTTGTAGACCATACGCACCCTACGAGTAGGCCAAGAACGTCCACCCCATCTGTCCTTCCGACCCAGCAAGTTTCACTTACTCTTTCTCCAAAACCTTACTCGAAGTCTCCATAGCCATCTCCAGATCCACCTCCTCGTGGGCCTGAAGGAACTCCTGGGGTGGCTTCTCCAGCGTCTGCTCCTCTGTCTCCTCCTGTCTGCTCTCTGCAGCAGCCAGTGCTCTTTGAAGCGTGAATCCCATCACGTCGGGCCCAGATTAAATCCTCCGAACCCAAACTCCTGGCTCTGTTCCACCTGGCCCGTGCCCACTCCTCCAAGATTCACCTCAAAATCACCCCTCTCCCGTCCCACTGACTTCCTCTTTGCAATCTTGCCCACCTTGGGGCCTTTGCACTTGCTCCCCAGCCCCCACCCCAAACTGGATAGACCTTCCAGGAATTCCAGCGACGAGGTCCTTCTTCACATGTCCGTTCACAAAGCACCTCCTTGATACAAAATCCTGTCCCACCTCTGCCTTCATGCAGGCCTGTGTCTCCTTCTCAAGAATGGCCCTCCTGTAATCCATGGGTCTCTTACTTACCACCGTCTCTCCCCCCTTCCACAACATAAGTGTACAACTTAAGTGACTCAGGGAAAAGAGCTGATACTCTGAAAGGGGGCTGTCAGGGAAAAGGGATCCCGATGTAGGAGACTGGTCATGAACTTCTGGTCCAGAAGTTCTCGTCACAGGTTTGTTTTTCTTGTAAAGCCAGTCACACACAGGCTAACACCATTATTTGCACACCCCTTCCCCCTGGTGGCACTCTCAGGCGACATGCACACCTACTGTGGGCACACGCAGCCCCAGCACGAGATGCTGAGGGGCCGCTCAGGGTCGCACACCCAGCTATTCCAAGATCGGCTCTTCCTAGTGTTTGTGAACCTCCTGAAGGGCCCATGCTGGAGGGCTTCCGCAGCTGGTGGTGGTGCTGACACAGGCTTGGAGGCTGGTGTGCTTTCTGCAGGCACACGGACGGGAACACAGAAAGATGAGGGAAAGACAACTCGGGTCAGGGGTCTCTGCCCTTTCACCATGTCATGATGAGAGGACATGTGGGAGAAATAGCAACAGCCACCACCGTATGTACACTGGAGAGCTTTATTTACGGCGACGTGAAGAACCGAGCAAGCACGTCTTACCCCACTCGGTTTCTCAGAGCTGAGAGTCTCCCCGGCTCCGGCATACATACTGGAGTGGACAGCTGGCCATTAGAGACATCGTCATCTCGTGCCTGGGACCCCCGCCTGAGTGGTGACCTTGTAAAGCAAGGATTACTTTACCAAAATGATTTCTCTGTACAATTAGAAAGGCTAAAATTTAAAAATGGTTGAGAGTTAAGTTTTGATGTATAGAGTCTATACAAAACACAGGATAGGTAAATTTACGGAGACAGTAACTGCATTAATAATCACCTAGGGGCATGGCAGGGGAGGATGGAGAGGGGTGGAAAGGTGAGCTAGCAACAGTAAATAGGTGGAGAGAATGTTCGAAAACGGATTGTGGTGATGACGGCACCACCCCTCTTAATATGATTGAGCAATTAAATCGTATGATATGGGAAGCATATGGCAAAACTATTTTAAAAAAATATTCCTATGTGCACCACACCTTTTCCTTCCTTAATTGAGGCCCTGGTTCTGGAGCTTGGTTACACATCAGAACCGCATAGGGAATCCAGAATCGCTTGAAGCCTGGGTCCTCACTCTGGAGAGCCCTGGGCAGGGCCTGTCGCCTACTGCCAAGCGGTTCTACCATTAGAACTCGGGGTGGAGTCGCTGCAGCAGAGCCCCCCCAGTGAAGGCAGTGAGTTAGGACAGCAGGTCTCGTTTCCTCAGCTTTGAAGCAGTTCAGCCGTGGTTGACGCCGTAAAACTGCAGCGGAGCCAAATGTTTAACATTTAGATGAAGTAGAATGGTAACCAGCTGGGAAAAAAACATAGGTTCAAACCCTGGAATGGGGGACCGAGAAGGGGCACAGTGGGCCCTTTCTGAAGCCTGAGACCGGAGGTTGGCTTCTCGCCCGAGGGGACTGTAGAGGGCGACACACATCCCAAGCAGCATGGTCAGCCTCAGTCTTCGAGCTGGCCACCATTGTTTCCCACTGCGTAGGTCAAGAAAGATGGTTGTTACGCGATGCCTGTGCTGCCCCTGTTTCTAAGGAGATTAAGTTACTAGCAAGGTGTTGCCCCATCTCCCCCGCCCCCCATCCTGGTTGTCACCCACATTTTACGAGGTCCAGTCCATCCTAATGCCACTTCATCCGCCCTGACTGAACTGAGAAGAACTGATCCAAAGTCTTTGATCTCTTCACACCTAAGGTTATCTGGTATTCAGGGCTTGCCCACCTGAACTGAGGACAGACTCCAGGGAGGGTGTGGCCCCTTGTGACCCAGACTGGTGACTGAGAAGGAGGACTGCTCTGGAAGACTCAGAAACAGTCTGTGCTGTGTTTGCCACTGAGAATATGCCCTGCTCTTCCAACCGGAGAGCTGAGGGTGTGAACACTCACCAAAGGACCACCTGGTAAATCAGGAGACAGAATGAACGCTGGATCACACGTTTTAAATACAACCGTCTTTTTAATAAAAACATTGGGTTACAAAGCTGAAAGTAGAGATGGCAGCTCCAGAAAGCAGGGGCCCTTTATAAGGCTAATGTTTGCTGTTGGGAAATCCGCAGCATGAGAAAGAAGTTACAGGCAAGGTGAGCGGGACATCTCAGAGGAACGTTCTGGAATCCCCTGACCTCAACCCAGCATGGGATAGGAGAGCAGGAAGGGGCCCTCTCACCTTGGGGGGAGCCTTGACCCACTTCATTAGGGTTGAAACGACAGGAGACCGATGCGATGTCATAAATAATGTGTTGTGTGCCAGGCTGCTCTGCTCACTTATGTACACTTTAGAAAACTCGCTTCTGTACAGGTGAAGCGGGTCCACTGCACGCAGTGTCGTTGGGGCAACGTGGGTAGAGAGGTCTCGCAGATGAGAGAACGGTGACCCCCTTGGGGGACCCCATTTGTGGCCAACCTTAGTACTTGGTGGTGGGGATGCGGGACAGAAGAAACCGCACTGTCCCCTCCCACCCCAGTGAGAAAAGAATGAAGTTCACACCAGTGGCATCCTGCTATGTCCGCTCAGACGCTAGATTCCTCAAACGTGTTAAATCCCTCTAATGCCTTGGGGTCTTTTCGACAACAACAGAAATGCTTGGATTTGATTCTGTGGAACCAGTGGCCGGAGTTCATCTCGCCGCCTGTGCCCGTTCACGAGAGCCGCCAGCTCTGAGACTGGCCTGGCCAGCAGCGCCCCCATGGATGAGGGGGCGGCTCAGGGAAATGGGGGTTCTCAGGAGTTCCTCCGGCTCCCAACTCCCCTGTCAAGTCGTGGGAAGTTGGTGGACTGGGCGGCGCCCCGTCATTCATTCTGTGGTCTCTGGGGAGCCCGGTGCTCAGGCCACGGGGGCTGCATCCCCACGCTTGAGTTGGTGCATGACGAAAGTCCCCAGGGCCACCAGGGGAATGCACATGGTGGCGGAGGCCACGAGCAGTCCGATGAAGACCAGCGCATACGCAGGGTAGTCCTTGGTCACCAGCTGGCCCTGAAAAAGAGACCCTGGTTAGGAGCAGGGGCCTCTCCACGTCCTGTGCCCTCTCGGCCTGCAGGAGGCCCAGGAGGGTGGGCAGAGAGCAGGTGGGGCTGGGAGTCTGTGCACCTGGGGCCACCCTCTGCCTCTGAGGGCCACTAGCAAGAGCAAGGCACTGGGTGGGCTGTCTGACTCCTCTCAGGGGTTTCTGCCTCACAGATGAGGTGTGTCCACCAGGGTGCTCAGAGCCAACCAGTAAACAGGACCCACAGCCAATGGCCCAGCCCTAGATCCGAGCCGATTCTGTCCCCAACCGCAACTAGTGACCGCTGAGTCCATGGGTCAAGCTGGGACAGGAAACTGGAGGCCCTGTGCTCACGAGTGACCTGGGGGCCCAGCCCAGGCCTGCAGGGCAGGGGAGATACCTGAGAGGCATCCCAGGCTTGGTACTGCAGGGTCCCAGTGAGGATGTAGTCGCTCAGGTAGAAGAGTAAGAGGCTGATGATGAGCAGGGGGCTCACGCCGGCCCACATGATCTTCCAGTACCAATTCAGATTACGGCCAGTCATGGACTGAAGGTCCCCTTCAAATCTATTTGGAGACAGAGGGGAGGAAGTCCGATTAGCCACGTGGCTGGCGGGGAGGGAGCTGGAGCTCGCACACGCCGCGGGGTCTGGGAGACTGCTCCAGCTTACAGAGGCCTACGAAGACGCATCCGGTGTCAGCCTCCAATGAAGGTGGCTTAGGGCAGCTGTCAAGCCTAGTCGCCACGAGAAGGCAGCTTTGCCCTACACTCTGCTACCTGGCTGGCAGTTAACACCGAATCATGGACCAGTGGAAATGTCCCCCTGGGTAGAATCTCTCCATTCCGTGAACACAGAACAGATTTGCTGGGTGTTATGGATTGAACTGTCTCCTGAAATATGCACGGCGGTCCTCTCCCTTGGACCAGACTCTGTTTAGAAATGGGGCTTGCTTTTGTTATGTTAATGCAACCGCCTGTTAGGTTGATGAGATCACGCCAGACGAGGGCAGATAGATCCTAACCCAAATCACTTTGGAGTGGTCAGAATCCACACAGGACAGACAGCTTGTGAGGATGGCCGGGAGTCACCAGAGATGGGTGGGGGAGAGGCCACCGAAGGCATCCGTCTTAGACTTCCAGGCTCCGGAACCTCTGTTCTAGCAGCACTGGGAGCGGAGGCCCCAAGCACAGGACAGAACTCTGGCCCGTCTGAGCTGTTCTGGCGACAAGCAGAGCAAGACTCAGTCACAGGGCCACCACGTGGATTTCTGCCATGTCCTCAGGCGGCCTCTTCTTTCTTTAAAGTGGCTTCATCACTTGGGAGACTGCTGACCAGGACTGCAATGTGATGTTCTGAAGGCTTGCCGTTGGCTGCAGCAGCTGCAGGCCCAGGACCTGGATGGGTCTCCCGCCTCCTGCCCAGAGCCTTTAAAAGCAACCTGCACACAGGAGAAGCAGCTACAGCAGATGGGGCCGGGTGGGGTGGGGCAGGGCTGTCTCCATGGTCACCTGCTTCCCTAGTGCCTGTCCCCTGGTCTGGGTGCTGGTACAAGACTTTGTTTAGAGACCCCTGCCTGCCCTGGTGGCACCGTGGGTCATGCGGTGGCCTGTAAAGGACAGGTCAGCTGATCGCAAACACCAACCGCTGTGCCAGAGAAAGGCGTGTCTTTCTGCTCATATAAAATGACAGTCTCAAAAAAAAGAGGCGCTGAGACCAAGGGCTCAATAGAGAGTAATTGTCCAGAAAAGAATGACGGCGACGTGTGTACAGCTATGTCCGATACAGCTGATATATGGATTGTGATCAGAATTGTAAGAGCCCTCAATAAAATGATCAAAATATAATAATAAAGATGATAGGCCTGCTTAAAAAAAAAGTTACAGTCTCAGACACCCACAGAGGCAGTTCCACCCTGCTCTGTAAGGTTGTCATGAGTCAGATAAGATCGCTGCGAGCTTCAGGTTGTTTGTTTTTTTACCTGCCCTCTGCTGTGGCCCTGCCCTGACTCGGCTGTGGCCTCTCATGTCCATGACAGAGACAGCTGGCATTTTCAAAAGTGTGCCCATTGAAGGTGTCTGGGGTTACCTGGCCCCTTCACCTCCACCATCTGCTCCGCTCCTAGACGGGTGGGCGGGCTGGCTGCAGACGAGGTGGGACGCCACTGTCAACAAGTGGCCACTAGATGGGGAACCTTCTGCACTCCAGCCTCCTCACCTCTCCCACTGCTTTGGGGCGATGGACTTGTGGGTCCAGAAGTGCCCGGAGGCTCCTGTGCTACCCTGCTGACCCCCACGTCTGCATTTTCCCATGGCTTCCGCTTGCTACTTCCCCATTGGTTTTCCCGCCCAGAGCCACTGGATTCAAAATTTTGGTGGGCTGCTGCCCATGCCCATTGCAGATACCGGTGGGACATTCTCTAGTTGTTCATCCACCCTGCCAGTAGGCGTGTGCAGTTGTGATTGGACGCGAAAAGTCACACACACACACACCACACCACACTCTGCACCGAGCAACACTGAGCGAGCGCGGTAGCTGACTCCCAGTCACCGGCTCCGGCTCCGATCAAGCTTCTCTCTCATTCAGCCAGTCCGGTGTGGTCCTGATGGACCTGGAAGCGGTGCAACAGTTCCCAGTGTCTGTCTGTTCCCAACCATCTCTCTGTTCCCCAAACAACCACGCTCTCCGGTGCCCGACGCCTTCCCCCCGAGACTGGTATTCCTTAGGTTACCAACTCGTCCCCATTTACCTGGAACGTTCCCTATTTCAGGTCCGAAAGTCCCATGTCCACACACCCCCTGGGGTCCCGGGTCAAAGTGCCACGCCAGTGATGTTAGCAGCTTGCAGGCCACAGAGCGCTCCTTGCTCAGAGCAGCGCTGCAGGCACATGCAAACCCACCGTGCTCTGGCTTGGGGGTGGGGGGTGAGGCTTTGGCATGAGGACGTGTTTGGTTTTTTGACTAGTAATGTCGTCAAACCATTTGACGAGGTGGGACCCCGGGCTCCCAGGGCAGGGGGGGCGACATTGCCCACGAGGCTGCCCTGTCTCTAGAATGCTTACCACACCACCCAGTTTGGGGGTCAGAAGGGACAGGAGAGGGGAGGGGACAGTACCTTGACTCAGCCCTTCCACCAGGGCTCCAGTCCCAGCAGCCCTACCCTGGACGCCTCCATTGAGGCAGGTGCAGGCTCAGGGAGTCTGGGGTATGAGCACACCCGAGATGCTGCATTCTAACAAGTTCTCAGGGGTGGGGCACACACCACTGGGCGGGGGACCCAGCTTCTGCCTGGGGTGCTGGCATATTGATTCTGATGCGTCTGATTCTCGTGACAGACTAGACCTGCTTCATTCGTCTTCCTAGGCTGCGATTTAAAAGTCAGTGGTTCGAAACCACCAGCTGCTCCTCAGGAGAAAGAGAGGCTTTCTACTCCCATAAAGAGTTATGCTCTCAGAAACTCACAGGGGCAGTTCGACCCTAGAGGGCAGAGAGCTTTGAAAAAACAAAACAACCTTTACAGAAAAGAAGCCCTGAGGGTGTAGTGGTTACGAGTAGGGCTGCCAACCACAAAGTCAGCAGTTCAAATCCACCAGCCGCTCTGCGGGAACACAATGAGGCTTTCTGTTTTCGTAAAGATTTACAGCCCCAGAAACACACAGGGGCAGTTCTACTCTGGCCTATGGGGTTACTGCAGGTCAACATCAACCTGATGGCAGTGAGTTAAAGAAAGGTTTTCTTTCTTTCTTTTTAAAAAATAGTTATGGAAGGAAATAGCTGGTCCTTTCTCCTCTGGATCAACCAGATAGGTTCACTGTCCATTTCTCAGTTACCAGCTGAGCACAGAACCACCATGCCACTGAGACCCACTGCCATGGGGGCGGCTCACGGCCACCCTGCATGGAGTTTCCGAGCCTGTAAATCTTTTGGGGAACAGCCAGCCAGCCTCAGCTTTCTCCCTTGGAGCGGCTGGAGGGTTTGAACTGCTGACTTGGCAGTTAGCAGCCCAACCCATAACCCACTAAACTGCCTATTAGGGGTTCTCAAACGGTGGTCCCCAGACTGCAACATCAGTACTACCTGGGAACGTGTTAGTCAATTGGATTCTTGGACCCCACCCCAGACCTCCAGAATCAGGATCCCTTGGGGGATGGGGTCTGTGGAAAACAGGGCCTATGGCGATTAGTGGTGAGTTCCGGCCTGATCTCACAGCTGGCTAAGGAACCTGCTCCCTCTAGCGTGTGGGCCATGCCTGCCCACCCGCCTGATATACCTGTCCACACCCCATGGGTGCTTCCGGATGCAAAGCTCTCAGCCCTGCCACACACTCGCTCCTCTGGGAGACGACACACTTCCTAGCCCTGGGCTGGGTCCTGGGGCTGAGAACCAACGGACTAAGCGTTGAATTTGCCAGATTTTCTAGGGTGCACATGATCAGCTGGACTTTGTCGGGGATCCTCTGAAAATGCTGATGCTGGCTGAGGATCAGCATAGTCAGTTCCTGGAGGTGTGCTTCCCTGCCCTCGTAAGCCACCTGGGTCTTACAGGGCTAATGGACACACACCCCATTGTATGAGTCAAAATGCAAACAAAGAGAGGATGCTGGGTGAAGGCAGAAAGTGAGGTGAAACCTGGATGTGGTAGTTATATCATCTGGTGTCAATGTGAGAGGATTAAGAGTGAAGGGGTGGAGTCTAACCTGTCAATCAGGTCGTAGCTTGATGACCTCATTTGGAGGCACTAAGGAGATAAAGAGCTCACTGGAGGTGGGTCACATGCTCACTCCCTGGGAGACACATGGGGCTAAACTAGTGCCCTGAGCTGGAAGAGCCATGTGGAGACCCCTGCCAGTACTGAGATGCTTATCTGTGGCCGCTGGATCCACAAGACTTCCCACCCACTGGCCTGTGATCTTCCTGGATTCGGAATCCTTGCCTGTATTGCGTGAGTCTGAAGAGGACTTTATAGATTGTTATCAGACATATGGGCTCATGAACTTGATCTGGACTGGGCTGGGGCGTTTTCTCGATATTCAACTGCTCTTTTACATAAAGCTCTTTCTTATACACATATGTCTGTGATTTTTGCTTCTCTAGCCCACCCGGACTGACACACTGGACCACAGAGAAAAACTTTCAAACTCTGTTGTCACCCAATTAACCGACCACCTAAAGGCTGAAGAGATGATCCTGCTCAGGGTGCCCCCCTCCCCCAACCCGTGTGTGTGTGTGTCCCCGCGCGCTACATGGGGGTCCCAGATCACCAGGCCTTTCTCCCAAGGCACTTCTGGGGGGATGCCACACAGAACACGTTAAATGCTTGCCCCCACCCCAGCCCCGGGGGATCTCTCATCAAGACTCTTGTCCCCTGGGGCCTGACCTTTGTGGGCCTGGGGGTGGTTGGCAGGGCAGGGCGGGGTGGCCTCACTCACCTCCTTAGCCCATACACGTAGCACACAGCGATGGTTTCCACCAGCACGATGAGCAGCAGGGACAGCGTGGCGGCGTAGTCGTTGAAAATGTCGAACCAGTAGTTGCCCGCCTCCATGGTGAACACCATGCCCACGGCGCAGCTGATGAGACACACCAGACCTGCGGGCCACAGGGTCACCTGCCCACGGGCCCTGCCCGCTGGGGGACCCAGCCCCACTGCTCACCCCGTGTTCTACGGCAGCAGGAACCACCAGGCCCCCCCAGCATTGGGGGTGGCGGGGAGGGGTGGCGGGGATGCTGGGCAATTGGTTCATCCGTTCCATGGTGCTGCTTCCCGGAGTGTGTGTGCAGGGGGTGGGGGTGGGGGTGGGCAAAGTGTCCCAAGGAGACAGCTGGAGTCATAAGGAGGCTCACCCACGGGCTTTCCTGTGGGGGGCAGGGGGTGGGGTGGGGTATGGAGCCCGGTGGAAAAGCAAATGCAAAAGCCATGTTCCTTGCTTCTGGGGAGCCTGACCCAGCTGTGGGGTCTGGGGACATCGGTCGCGGGGGGGAGGAGACCTAGCTCAGGGCTCCCCAGATGTCCGCTCAGCCGGACACCCGGCAGGCCCTGGCCCTTGAGCCCCTGGGGCAGGAATTGGACCCCCTTTTGCCAATGGGGAGATGGAGGCTCAGAGCTGGTAAGTCACTCGTGCCCCAGCCTCCGGGCCAGGAGGCGGCAGGGTCAGGATTCGGACACAGGCCGAATCTTCCAGAACTGGAGCTCTTGTACCGGGTCCCTGAGGTTGGCTCCCTGGGACACGCCCTAGCAAGCCGGAGGCTGACGACCCCAGCTGCTGTCCCTGCTGCCACACCATCCGTCACCGGGGCTCCGACCCTGCCCTCCGCCCTCCCTACTCCACCACGGCCAAGCAACGAAACCAGGAGGGGCCTGGATTTGTAAAACGTGGGTGAGCAGGATCAGTGAGTGGACAGGAGAAGTTACAGGGGTGGGGAGGGGTCTACACCCTGCTGGAAAGCTCTGCTCACTCTTAGAAAGCGAGGACCGGGCGCCTGTTGCATAGCAACCAGATCTCTGGACTGCAGAGCCGGAGCTGATGGCAGCTCTGAAGGCTCTCCACAGTCCTGGCCGAGGCTCCGTCTCCCACCCAGGTCCAGACTAGCCCTGATCGGAGTCCCTGTCCTGGGCCTCTGACCTGTAAAGGGACCCTTTCTGAGCATCAATTTTGCTTCACCTACTTTTACGAAATCCAGGTCTGTTCTCGTTTCGCTTGGTTGGCTGGGGCAGAACCAGTTTGGACTGGTTTGAAGCTGCACCACTGCCAGGGGTCAAGGAGTGCCCTCAGGGGAAGGAAGGAGGTGGCAGCCAGGTGGCTCGAGGGACAAGCCAGGGCTATGATGAAGGGCAGGTGGCTCCGGCTGGGGTGGCCAGGACTCCAAGGGAGAAGGGGTGGGATCCTGGCTTGGTTCCAACTGGGAAGAGGATCCTGGCTACGGGACAATGGAGCCATCCAAGACAGAGGCTGGGGCACGCCCCCTCGCCCTGGACTAGTACACAGGCAAGAAGATGGACGAACCACTGCCACTTTCGCAAACCACAGACATCGAGGGAGGGAGGCAAACAGACACAGACACTCGGCGCGCCATGCCAGGGACCCGCAGCCCCCAGACAGGAAGCACTCCTCGGAAATGGTAGCCATCCCAATGGACGTTTCCTCTGGGAGGGGTAGGGTGGGGGAAGACCAGGGCAGGAAGGCTGTAGGGTAGCCAACAGCCACCAAGTCACTTCAACAAGCACCAAGCCTCAGAGGAAATGCATCCGCCTGCCTGCCCTCCGCCGCTGTCCGACCTGCTGACCTGAGATCGCCTCTTTGGGCAGGTGCCTGGTGATGGCCTTGCTGTCGGTCAGAGGGGTGAGGATGGCCGCCGTGTTGCCCAGCATGCTCCCGATGCCCAGCATCAGCAGCATGAAGAAGTAGAGCACGGACCACAGCTGGGACACCTCCATGTTCTTGATGGCCTCCGTGTAGACGATGAAGGCCAGTCCCGTCCCCTGCACCGCCTGCCCACGGGGAGAAGACACGCCAAGGGTAACGCTCAGGCGACGTGTAGACACGCCAGGCTGAGCCCATCTGGGCCCCTGTGATCACGAGAAACCCCCTTCATCTACGGTCCAGGCCCTCGGGCTCAGCTAGAGGGTGGAAAGGGGGAGCTGTCAGGAGTTCCTATGGGCGGGGTCTGCAGGGAACCCCCAGCCAGCTTGAAGCGCTGCGCCCCTCTCCCCACCGCAATGTGGGTGCAATGGATCCAAGGCCACAAAGCAGTTTGCAGAAATCCCTGCTGCCCATGTCACGCCAGCCGATCTATTCTTTTTTCTTTTTTTTTTCTTCAGCCGATCTATTCTAAGATGTGAGGTGGGATGCCGTTTAAGTAGCAGGAACCAGGACGGTGGGGAGCTGACAGGCCAGAAGGCAGCCAGGAGGTTATTTGTGGCCATTTTTGCTGTGGGAAAGTTGGGGGTGGGGTAGGTGGGCAATCCTAAGCTGTGAGCTAGTGGTGAGGTGGCGATGGAGGGGGGGGAGGTGTGTTTTCTGTTTAAAGACAAATTCCCCCCGGCACTCAAGAGGAATCCTGATGTGAGAGTGCCTCCAGGCCATGGGCACACACAGAAGCAAACTCTCTCTGGGGGAAAGCTTCCCCAACATCCAGAGGTGAAGATCGGACAATGAGCCCAGACGCGGAGATCACAAACCCACCAGAAGGAAGCCACACATGTACGGGAGCGAGAGGTAACGGATTTAGAACATGTCTCCCTCAGGGCTGAGTTGTCATAGACAGCAGATAGCTCCGATCCATGCAGGAGCTAGCACAGAGCAATGCAGAGGACTGCACAGTAGCAGCGGGGGTCAGCAGGAACCGGCTGCCCTGGGTACAAACAATAGGAGTAAGGACACGTGCGCATCACCTGAGGGGAACATAAAAAACAAGAAAGAAACCTACCAAAAAGGTTGATCTTCTTTGTGTTACATTCTCTACAGTGTCCGTGAGAAACACGCACCTCCCACTAGAACAGACTGGTCTCCACTCTCCTGCCCACAGTCACCCTTGAAATAGCGGAACAGGAAGTGTTTAAAGAACAACAAATACAATACAAAGATAAATACTTAGTAAGAAATGATGAATGAACAGGTAAACTCTTTTTTAACGTGTCTAAAATAGATATGGTTATTTCACGAAGAGACAGATTGGTAGGAAAAGGCTCGAAGCAGCTGAGGAGAGAACGGATGAACTGGAAGACCTAGCCCACACCAGGCATTAAAGCCACAGTGACACACGTTAACCCATAAGATAAGAAGATGAGGAGAACGAGGCCAGCGTGGGAGACATGCACCCCAGGATTCGCACGTCTAACTAGGTCTAAGTGGGGTCCTAGAAGAGGGAACATAGAGACAATCATTCGTAGATAATGGCAATGGGTTTGTTTGAAACCATGAATCTATAGACACAATAAACCGAATATGACCATAGCAGGGTAGATAAAACATGCAGCCATGCCTCGGCTGCAGAAGTCCAAGGCCAAGAGATGCTCCCGAGAGAAACCGAAGGGAAAGAGCTGGTCACTCCAAAGTCATGAACGAAGAGCCCAGTAGCCCAACGGAGGCCGGAAACAAGGCAGGATGTCCGAAGTGTGCAGAGAAAATCATCGCCAACCTTGGATTTTCTACTAAGGGAAAGGGGGTTCAATGCAGACATTTACATACAAACGGGATCTGAGAAAATTTAAAACCTGCTGTAGAAGAATTCATCAACCATGTGTTTTAAGGCGGCGGTGGGGCAGGAGCCAGCCAGGAAGTCAAAGTAACGGTGAACCGAACAAATGGCCAATGTGTAGGCAGATACAGGCACTGTTCGTATCAAATAATAACAGAGCCCAATTTGGGGGTAAAAGAGACAGAACTCAAAGAAGGAGCATTTAAAGCAGGAGAGAAGATATTAAAATCTTTGTATTTTCTGGAAGAGAATTCAAGCTTCTGTTTGGTTTTACACTTTAACACATAAAAGTTTCAAACCAGTTGAGAATAAAGTAGAAATTATATATATATATGGAAATAAATGTGGAAAAGTCTAAATAAATTGTCACATATATAGGCAAGCTCAAAATTAAGTGAGAGAAACCCCTAAATGCTAAAAATGAAAAAGAAATGACAGCTCCCTACCCTACCCTGCCCCCACAACTGGGGATTTTGAACTTTATTCTTTTAAAAAGTTATTATTTAATCATTTTATCGGGCACTCTTACAGCTCATAGAACAATCCACATCCACCCATTGCACCAAGCACATCGGTACAGATGCTGCATTGTCTTTTCAATGTCAAAGCATTTCTTTCTACTTGAGTCCTTGATATCAGCTCCTCCCACCCCCAACCCCCTTCCACCCTCATAAGAAAGGACAACTTTGAACAGAAACTGGAGCCGAGGGGATGCCTACATCCCCTAAACTGGGTCTGGCCCTTGAAGTTGAGGGCTCGGGCTCAGGGGGTGATGTCACAGGCCCGAGGCTGGATAGAGTGAAGGCAGGCTGCCAAGAGATCCCACTGGACGTGTTCCCCATAAAAGGACCTGGTGTGGCTCCCTCAGTAAAGAGGAGACCAGAGTCCCCTCCAGCAAAAGGAAGCCCCCCAGGAAGCTGCTGGCAACAAGACTGTGATAGACAGAGCCACGGTGGGCACTGCTCTCCATTCTTGGGGCGTGTTCCTTAGACCCGCTCTCTAGAAGTCTTCCCACGAATTCAAAGTATCAGCAAACATGCTCACCACCCCTTCCCCTCTGTCTGATGGAAGGCCTCGTCAGTGCAAGGTGCTAAGAACAAAGAATCAAGATGCGCAGACTGGAAATAGAGCGTGTAAACTGCTCATCTTCACAGATGACAAGGTGGCTCCCGGGGGAGGTTAAGGCATATCTACAGACACCCAAGGAGAGACTTCACCGAGGATGCTTGCTGGAGACACGCCGCCAGGACAAAGCTGAAGTCGTCTTAATGACTCATCCCAAACAGCTCTAGAATACATAGAAACTACACTATACTATATAGAGTATATAGAGTACTATGTAGAAAGTACAGTGAACCCTCGCCACTTCGCGCTTCGACTTCCGTGGTTTCACTCTATCGCGGTTTTTGCGTAACAGCACATGCTCTGTCATTACTGCCACTGATTGGCT